AGGACATTTCTCACGATCTGTATTCTCTGCCATTTCGTTTTCATTTTATTCCATTAGCAAAGCAAAAATGTTGTTATTTGGTTTCGCTATCTCGCTCGCAGTTGTTGAGTTTTTCAGTTTGAATCAGCATTTAATTCCAGTATGAAGCCTCGGCGGATATCAATACTTCTAGCCACAGTATCTCTATACAGCATAATTTCATCAGTAACTCCAAAGGAGCTGGTGTTCGTCCAAGCGATTTGGCGGCATGGTGACCGGGCACCACTCAAACTACCGTATCCCAAAGACCCTTACACGGAAGCCGCATGGCAACGAGGATGGGCACAACTTACTAACGTGAGTTTCAGATTGTTTGTACAGCTATTTAGCAAAAATTCCCAGTTACTCTTCGGTAAAAATAGTGAGAGGGGAATAAGTGGAAATTTCTGGAAGGGAGTGTATCTAGAACATGTCGATAAAAATGGCGTTGGGGAAGTCGAGTCCATTGCGGTCTGTGTCTCTATGCCATGGATAGCTTAAGTAGTGAGGATAAAAACTTTGATAACAAGCCTATTTGAATTTATTGATTAGAAGCGTTGACACGTTCAAAATCCAAAATATTCAATCCAATTATTCGCACATACATACATAGTCAGCGGTTCGCTCACTATGGAGCTACTGCTTTGCCTCATCACTTCTCCCTTGAACCTAGGAATTTTCTTGCCCTTGGCCCAGGATCGCTTCTCTTCTTAATTCCAGGCTGATCAGCTTATTATCAGCACCTTTATCTTGACTTCTATCATTCAAGCCGCAGAACTTGATGGTGTGTCCCGTAACCCACTCCCTACCCAACGCCATTTTCACCGAACTTGACAGCTGATTACGAAACAAACTTTTTTGAGGTTACAAATAGAATGATGCATCGGTTCAATATTCATTCTTATTCCGAAAATTTCAGGTGGGTATGAACCAACTCAACGAACTCGGCCGCTATTTCCGATTCACGTACAACTTTTTCGTATCGAAAGTATACAATCCAAGTGAAGTACTGTATATCTTTAAAGTAGTGCCAGTAGTGTTGCTGTATTGCTTGAGCTCAACTGTCAGTTCTTTTTTCGATTTTATTCACTTATTTCAGGTGTACATACGATCATCGGATTCTGATCGAGCACTTACATCTGCACAAGCGTTCACATCCGGTTTCTATCCAGCCAACGGCAGCTTTCAGTGGCAAGCAGGGGATCCATGGCAGCCTATTCCAATCCATGCCAATTCACCGGGCGAACCAGATCTCGTAGGTTCTGGATATTCCGTGACATTCAAATTCTTCAATAATCATGGCGAAGAAGGGCATCCGTATCAGCTACGTATAGCACACCCTTGGTGCAAGGATTGCGAGACCTGACGCGATCAGAGAGAGAGAGAGATCGTTGAGATTATTCATGTTGTAAACTGAAAACTATCAACGACACTGAAGAAGAGGAAG